GTTTTACATATAGATCATTGACTCATTTGCTATATTCAAAGTCAACTGAGGCTATATTTTAAAACTTTTTTGGTGTTGCAACATTAAGGTTGTTTGCAGTTTTTAGCTCTTTGTTTTAATTTCTTTTAAATCACTATGTGAAACACTCATTTTTTTGTGATGACTAATAAAGGACATTTCCTTTTCTTTCATTTTAATATCTTGAATTTTGGAAAAGAATATATTTGGAATTATTTTGAGCTCTTTTAGTTATTAAAAGATGGCGGACAGTGTGTTAAATGTGACAGATTGTCATGTGGAAATTCATAGAGAAAAAAATGCACATATTTGTGTTTTGTTTTATGTCATTTATATAGAAGTAGCAAGTAAAGTGTGAATATTGATTAAGCAGTGTTAACATTGACCAGAAAAATGCCACACAGTGGTATCTCTGGATGAAGCTGAGGGGATTTTTCTTTCAGAAGAGAGGCCTTTTGCTTTTGAAACAGTAGTAGAAGGAGTCCCCGTTGTGGGTCTTTGTTTTTGAAAATTATTGGTCCATCATGGTCTTTCAGTTCCAGAGAAGCTTTCAGAATTATTCTATACTCCTAAAGATCATTAGACTTAGAAGAGTGAGAAACTTTTGTTATATTCTTATACCAGTATTGTGCATTTTCATATGTCAATGGATATATGTAAAGCATTCCTGGAAAATGCTGCATTATTGTGCTAAAGTCACTAGGCCAGTTCAACTACACTTAACCAGAGGCAAAACTCTGATTATTTAGAACTACAAGGCCTCTAATTCATCACTTAGATGGGATGATGAATCAATATGTTTTATTGATTGGCGTGGCTAAATCAAACTGCTAATAATCAGGGATTCAGATGCCAGTGATCCATATAGCACTCGTTTCCTACCTTAGCCTACAAATATTTGCCCGTCTCCAGTGATGCTAATGAATTTGCTTCAGATCAGTCATAAATTCCAATGTACAACCAGGTAGAAAAGGCATATATACAGCTCAAAGCAGATTGCTAACGTGATCATAAAAAGTTATAACACATCTTTTTATAGTACATACGCTGTAGACCTCTTCCAAAATATACCTCTCCCTTCTTGCTCTGCCAAGCCCAGAATGAATTACAGTGTGTTGTCTAGCAGCATTATTGACACTCAGAAATTGTATGTAATGCTCACATTATGAAGAGTAGATAGCACTTTACATTGGAACTCAATGGCTATGCAGTGACTACATGGATAATTTTTAGAGTAAACTTTAAATAATTTTTGCCATTTTAGGTGTGTCTTAGATTATTCCCCTCTTTAGATAGAATGAAAGAATAGCCACAAAAAAAAAAAAACAAAAAAAAATGGTTCCCCCCCCAAGAACTTTCTTCTTCAAAACATTGAAGACATTTTTCCTTCAATTCTTGTTTTAACCTTCCGCTCCCAATTATTTCTTTCTTTGTTATTGGTGTCATTTATCCAGAAATACTTCATATAGGAGAAATCAGTAGATTCAGCTTAATAAAATAATTTATTTGTATAATGCTCTTACATCTTATTTCAAGTGTTTTTGTTGGGGGTAAAAGGATGTGAAGACCTCTGAGAGTCTACAGTTCTCCTAAAAGTGTATGCAGAATTATGTGTATGTTGTGGGATAATGTACATTTTCCTGGGGAGAAGATCAAGTTTCATCAGACTCTCAAAGTCCCTGACTACAAAATAAGAATGACTAATGTATAAAATGAAAATTGGAGATTAAACAACAAAACACTGTGCACTTCTGGTTAGAGTAGGAGAGGTGAAAAAGAACAGAATTCAATGTGCTGTACTTAGATGTTCATTCTAGGACATATACTGACGTTTGTTTTGTGGGCTGTATCAATGCCACAGTATTGGCTTAAGTTACCTCTGTTTTAATAAGAAGAACCAGAAAGGAAGTGTGGATGTATTTTGTTTGAGAAAAAATATTTGCAGTAGCCTAATTCTTTTATATACAGAATTGTAATCTTATCTGCCAAAAAAGAAGTCAGCCATTTCCATTTTCAAAACATTTCTTAACTTTTAAAAGCAAGTCAGTAAGTCCATAAAGACTAGGAGTAGTTTCTTTTTATTCATAGCCTACAATTAAGACCAAACAACTGTACAGTTTAGACAGACCTCACTAATTGGCAGTGATGGCTGGTATTCGGTTAGCTGCTGTTGATTGGCAAATGGAATTATTGAAATTCAGGTTAATGAACTGAATTGTCTATTGCCCTAATTTTCTCATTTTGGTAACATATTACATTTTTCGTAGAAAACTCAGTACCAATTTGGAATGAAGTAGGTTATAGATGAAGAGACATAAGTAGGGGCGTCTGGGTGGCTCAGTGGGTTAAGCCTCTGCCTTTGGCTCAGGTCATGATCTCAGGGTCCTGGGATCGAGCCCTGCATCAGGCTCTCTGCTCAGCGGGGAGCCTGCTTCCTCCTTTCTCTCTCCACCTACCTCTCTGCCTACTTGTGATCTCTCTCTCTCTGTGTCAAATAAATAAATAAAATCTTAAAAAAAAAAAAAAGGAAAGACGTAAGTAAATTGCACTGAAGTAAATCATTTCTTCATCTTTATATTTTAACAAAATGGAGTTTTCTTGGACCGTTTGTGTTCATAGTCTTGAAGACTGGGCACATGTCTTGGTCATCTTGAACCGCTACAACAACTTACCACAGACTGGGGGACTTAAACAACAAACATTTCTCACAGTTGTGGAGGAGGAGGAGTCCAAGACTGAGGGGCTGGCAGATTCGGTCCTTGGCGAGGGCTTTCTTCCTGGCTTGTGGATGACCATCTTTTCTCATTATTGCCTTCCATGGCAGAGAGCAGAAAGAGAAGCATTCTGTCTCATATGGACACTGATCCCATCATGAGGACTCTGTCCTCATGACCTAACTACCTCCCAAATGTCCCATCTCTAAATGCCATTGCATTGGGGATTAGGGTTTCAATCCATGAATTTTATGAGAATAAGAACACGCAGTCCATGACAGTGTGTATTTCTCTTAAAAATCTTGTAACAAATATTCAAGTAAAATGAAGACACTAATACATAAATTATATCAGTTTATCTTTGCCAAACACAGAGATCTGAATTAAGACAGACAAAATTTAAATTCTACTATTTTGACCTCTTATGAAAACTCTGATTTCCAACTAGCTTTATGCATGCTTTTAAGACTAGTTGTATGTTTGCCTTTAAAATGTGCTAATCCTAAATAATATGAGCCCATAAATACATGGTATATGGAAAACTTAAGGCCCAAATAGTGGCTGTAAATATTTTGAACCTTCCAAGATGGTTCATATAAATGTGATGCTGCCCAAAGGCTGTTTCTGTCTCCGTAAGATATCTAATGAGGTTCTTCTGTTCAATCTGCAAAGGATGATAAAGCATTGCTGAATGGTTTTGTCCCAGATGGACTGTGAATAAGATGCCTGGTAACAACAGATCAAAGCTCCCTTGAGGCATTATTATATGCATTTATTATGAAGCATTCAAAAGTGACAGTACACAAGTCACCAACCAAACGGCAGTTATTTCATGAAAATTATGGGGGCGAGGGTGAAGTTCTTTCAAGTATGCCAACAAAATGCAATTAAACAGATTATATTGCTAAGAACAGTCTGCTTTGGGCTGATTTTGCATAATATATTCATTTCACTTGTACTCACATAGCCAAATGTTTAAAGGGTAGGAATGTTCAACTCTTTGTGGAAGTCCTCAAAGGAAAGGCCTGTATGTGTTAGGTAAGGCTGGGAGTGTGGCTGTGAGCACCAAGTTCTTGCAGCTTCTAAGTGTCCTGTGTCCACTTCAGTCCCTGTAGGACTACTGAGAGATCTGAGCTGAGTGGCTCTCTGTACCACTTCCCCCTTACGTCTTGGGCAAAATTAATTTGATTAAACAAAAAGGAAATCCAGATGTCACACACCTCCCATTGCTTCCAATGAGAGAAAAGAAGGAAAAGTGGCCTTGATCTTCCCCCAAAAGATGGCTTTCTATTTCGTTAAATCTTCAGACTCTCCTCTCTCAAATTCAGCCTCTTTTTATGGATAAAGATTTCCTCTATGTAGCTGTCAGCTCTGAAAAAAGTTGAGAATATAGTTGTTGCTTTGAGAACGCAACCATTTACCTAATCATTTAGCTTTGTAACAATAGTTATCAATGACACTTTTTAAAACCTAGATTTTCCGGGGCACCTGGGTGGCTCAGTCATTAAGGATCTGCCTTTTTGGCTCAGGTCATGAGCCTGGAGTCCTGCGATGGACCCTGCATTGGGCTCCCTGCTCGGCAGGAAGCCTGCTTTTCCCTCTCCTACTCCCCCTGCCTGTGTTCCCTTTCTCACTGTGTCTCTCTCTGTCAAATAAATAAATAAAATCTTGAAAAAAAGAAAACAGATTTTTCTGTAGAACCTTCAAAGATACTGTAGGTAGAGAGGGCCCATCTGAATTCAAGATTGGCTGCATGTGACCTTTCTTGTTTATATTTCCTGCCTTGTTTCAGTTAACAAATTACTTCTTAATCTTAACTGATGAAGTTATGCTTATGTCTGAACTTTACTTTCCAAGTCACACTTTGTACTGTGTACCTAACCGAGTGCTGGTATTGTACCAAAGTCCTTTTTTATATTACTACTATCATCTAGTTGTTCATATATTCAAATGTATGTATGTAATATTTATAAATCCTTACGTAGATAAATCATTTTACCAATGCAAAAGTGGTAATGTTTATTCCATTTAGTCACTGTATATGAGTTTCTGATATCTATCGTTAAACCGAACACAACTGAGATGAGAAGTACAGTGATTCTTTCCTGACTCTTTCTGTTGTAGAAATCATCCTGAGTAGGAGTTTTCATTTTTTGAGATTTTCAAAACATTATTACTAATAGAGAATAAGTAGAAAATCTGAAAAGTAAATTGAAATGATTTTTAATAGCTTTGTTTTTATAATTCTGCATTATGCTTTATTTGCAGGACCGTGTAAATGCATTAGAAATGGTAAGTTGAGGCGTTTTCTTTCTCCTTCTGTCAGAGTTACTGCTGTGTCCTGAGGTGGATTTCAGAGCACTCCCCAAAAGAAGTCGAGAAACCCTTTCTAAAACTACATCTAGAATTCAAAGGGGAGGATAAGCTAAACTATACCTGGAAAGTATGTGGATACAGATTTTTTAAAGTGAAAAAAGAGAAAAAACAAAAATGTGCCTATTTCACTAGTCACTGCTCTCTCAAGACTGAGGATACCAAGATGTACTAATCCATGGAAAGCATAATTAGCTTAAGTATAATCAGTATCCTATATGCTTGTATCTTTATTGCCCAATCACTAAAAGGACTGGTTGATCAGAAGCTGAGATTGGGAAACTGTTTATACTTGGAAGTACAGATATTCAACCTTAATATTTTTGTACATGGTTTTCACGAATACCCAAATAATGTTAAAAGCTGGTCAGCCTTTTTCTCAATAATCTTGCTTGTAGGAATCTAGCATTAGGGAATGAATTTTTTAAGGTGAGTGAATGTAAAGACTACATGTTTACAATATTTTATTGTAAAATTATTTATTTTAAATAATTTTAGGGAGAAAGGGGGGGCAACTTATTGTTTGACAATATAGTACTGAATGGTTGGATAAAGGTGTGGACTTTTCCGCCCAGCATACCACTGTTGTTACGGAAAAGGGTTATAATAGAAAACAAACTGAAAAGACAAATGTGTACTTCAGTGATAACAGGTAATGATAGACGTATGAATAAAGAATAGAAGAGACTGAGAAAAACTCATAAAAATGACTTGTTAGATGAGAGGACTGTGATTTCATTCCTTTCTCTATTTTTTCAAATTTTTAAAATATTATATTCCTCTTATAAATAAACCTTTTTGGGGGCACCTGGGTGGCTCAGTGGGTTAAGGCCTCTGCCTTCGGCTCAGGTCATGATCTCAGGGTCTTGGGATCAAGCCCCATATCGGGCTGTCTGCTCAGCGGGGAGCCTGCTTCCTCCTCTCTCTCTGCCTACTTGTGATCTCTCTCTCTGTCAAATAAATAAAAATCTTTAAAAAAAAAATAAATAAATAAACCTTTTTGGAGTAAGAACCATGTGAATTGGAAGAATGGTAAAATAATTTATGATACCACCTTACGACAAAAGATTATTTAGTCATAAAAAGTCATATTTTTCAAAAGTAAATATTGCTATGCTGTTATACAGGGGGAGGGTGAGTAGAATACACAGGCATATGGAGAGTATGATTCAAATATTGAATATTTTGTGTTAAAAAAGACTTTCAGAAAACAAGCACACAAAATATTAAGAGTGGCTTGAGTCTAGTGGTGATTTTATTTTTTCTTTATATGTTTTTAATGAACAGGAAAAAAATAAGAAACCTTTAAACAATGTGGCAAATAAAGAATAAAATATTTATTTTGTGAGTGTGAGAAATGGAAAGATGCTAATGGAGCTCATTTTAGTCCTATGTAAGCAAGTGATTTTGACTGACAGTGTCCAGACCCTCGTAGGTAAATAATCTATTCCTTAGATTTAACTGGGCCATTTGGAAATTACACTGACCTTCTCAGTTTCAGTATGATGACATTGTAGGTGAATAAAATGTTTAGTGTTCTTCCACATATATTTTACTTACCCTTAGGAAGTGTCTTGCCAACAGGATTTGGCTTGTGAATTAAACGCTCTTTTTAAGAGTTGAACAAAAACAGAAATTTTGAATCTGAAGACTTAGGTTCAACATACAAAATGCCACTTACACAACATTCAGCAAGTCACTTGTTTCTTGATTCCCTCATCTGTAAAAATATAATAATAATAGTAATTAAACTTCGTCAGGTTGTTGTAAGAATTAAGAGACAGAATATATGTGAAAATATTTAGGGCCAGACAAATGTTAGGTTATCATTATATGATTGCTTATTATTTCTTACTTAATCATTTTAATTATGCCAATATGCCATACAAAACTGAAAATTATACAAACAGCCAAAAGCCTATAACTCTTATTAGCATTTGTTAGTCTTTTGTGTTTATATAATCTCTTAACTAAAAGTACTATGGAGTATGATCTTAAGTAATGCCTTATTCTAAGGGTTCCTTTAGGAATAAAGGTAAAAATAAAAAGTCATGAGAAAAATAAAATTGATTAAATGGATGAGGTTTTTTACAGTGGCGGTTTTCTCAAGATGGTTTTAATTTGAAATAATTATAATAAGTAAAACCATAAAAATGAAAATGCTTAGTAATAATGTTAATGCTCAAATATTATGAAGTTCTTTGACTTCATATGGCATTATAAGCAGCAGATTTAATACACTTGGTAGACTGTTCAACTGGTAAAGTGTTTTATAGTTCATAAAATCAAATATGCTGAAAGTAATCTCAGGATCATTTATTATTCTCTCACTAACTCAGCACTTAAACTGTAGGAAGTGGTGTGGTCTACATTTGGTTGGGTTGGTATTAACGTAGAAAGTGTTGAATGTAGGGTATATGTTATGGTGATACAAGTCTACAAAAGTTTGAAATTTCATTGTTTCATTAGGAGATTTGAAAGGTTCAGTAGTTACAATACATGAAAATAAGATGGTCTTTTCATCATAATGAGCATGTTGATATGGCTTGTCACTAGTGATGCAAATGTTTAGGTCATTATCATGTGTCCATGTATCCCCCTCTTCCTCAACGTTTCTCTCTTCTTCACTAGCAGATGAGCTTCTTGGATTAGAAATTACATTTTAATTTGGGATGTAAATGCATCCCAGAGCCTGTCAAAAATTCCTGCTATATATTGGACAATTCGTAAACATTTGTAAAAGGAAAGAATGAAGGTCGAACTGTCTGTATATGACCCTCACATAAACTGTTTTTATGAATATAGGTATACACAGAACCGGTTCAGTAGTTGAAGGGAAAAAAATTCCCCAGAAGCACATCAATTTATTTTTTTTCCCTAGCCTTTCTGATTTAGTATTGCACTTTACTTGATGTTTCACGAAAGCAGTTACGATTTTCATTTAAGTTTAATGTGAAATTTTTAGGAAGGAACTAACTTTCTGCCAAAATATGGCATGTTGATTCTCCAAATAAATCTAAGTGATTATCTGAAAAAAAATCTAGATTGATAGCCCCAGTTGATGGGCCATGGATGAGACATAGCAGTGGATACTTATTGGCTACTATATAAGACACTGTGTTGACACTGAAGAGGAAGAGGAAAAACTGATTAGGTTTCTCAAGGAACCTGTACTTTAATTGAGGAGAAAAGCTACTTCCATGTAAATAAATTAATGATGTAAGATAAAAACACTGTCTACACCACATGAATGAAACACAATGCGTTTTATAGGAGCTCTTATAAAGAAAAAAAAAAACTGTAAAATAAGACATCATCATGGTCTAGGTTCTAGGACAACCATGGATCTTGTAATTTGGGGGACATGATGGAGGAGATTAGATTCATCTCTGAAATGCAAAGCATCAATAGTGTCAGACGGAAAGAGCCAGAGAAGGCATCCCATGTTGGGGCTATGATCGAACTTTGAAGATAATAAGGAGCAAAAAGCGGTTGTTAAAAGAATATTTTTCCAAAAAAGTAAAACTATGAAATCATGACTCTTACACAAATATGAAATGAAGTCATGACAATGAGTTTATTTAACTCATTAATGAGAGAATTAGTAAGATGTTAAAGTTGACTTAAAGGAGCAAAGAAACATCGGTAGGCACTAGAGCACCAAAGTGAATTTAAAATAGATGTAAAACTGGCTTCTTCCAAGGTGATGGTGGAAGGAAATCAATTGAACCTCCCTCAGACAACATTTATTTGCATGTCTATGAACAAGAATCATTTGCATTACTATCAGTTACCTACAACTCAGAGGGTTAAAGTGGTAGCACTGCCTTAGAGCCAATAGGGAGTCTTAAATGGTTTTTTGGTTTTGGTTTGTCTTTAAGACTTTTGTTTATTTATTTGACTGAGGGAAAGATCACAAGTAGGCAGAGAGGCAGGCAGAAAGAGAGGGGGGAAGCAGGCTCCCCGCTGAGGAGAGAGCCCTATTCGGGGCTCCATCCCAGGACCCCCGAGACCACAACCAGAGCCAAAGGCAGAGGCCTAACCCACTGAGCCACCCAGGAACCCCCCATTAATGGTTTTTAATCAGGGCTTTTGCTGGTAAATGTGGTGTGTAGGAATCCAAATGCTGTAGTTCTGTGCAGGGGTAGAGTAAAATGGTGAAAGACTGCATGGAGGAATGGGGAAGTGCATGTTGGAAATAATCCAACTTTAGAAATGTGGTTGAAAAATTAGGGTTGGGCACTTGGTACCAAAAAGGCAGGGGTAAATGGATGCCCTTGTTTAGAGATGGGAACTAGTGAACTTAGGAAGTGGGAGGTCAAGGGTAAAGCAGAGATAGAGACAGAACAATAAGAGTCATTTGAGGAAGTTTAAAAGGAACGTAAGACAGCTCAGCTTGGAGATATGTCAACTCTCAAATCTATCTTTAGTTTCATTTCCATTAATACCATGATATTTGCATACCTTCATATTAGAGTTAGGCCTGACTTCAGTTGACAAAGAAATCCAAAAGTAATAGTGGGTTAAGCAAGATAGAAATTAATTTCTCTCTTGTGTAACAATCCAAATATATGGTGTCTGTGGCAGATACAGTGTCAGAAACCCAGGCTGCTTCTGTCTTTTTGCTCCACTGTCCTCAAAATACTCCTTCCCGTTCCTGATCCAAGATGCCTGTACCACCTCCAGCCCTTATATTTGCATTGTAACAAGAAGGGAGAGCACTTAAATTTCCTTTAGTAGAAACTAGAATTTGCACATATTATTTCTGTCCATTTCCATGGGCCAGAATTCAGTGACATGATTATAATTCTGGGATTCAAAAAGAGAACCAGATAAGCCATAGACTTTTGGAAGTTTCAAAGTAAACGTCCAAACAACTCAAGTTTAGGAAATAAATTATAGTAGAAATTATGAAATAA